AACTAAACTACTGGTACTTTTTTGATACTGATCTAGGTTTCAATATAGCAAATCCCAGATTGTGGACCAATGCAATTTTTTATCCCTGAAGATGGAAAGGAAGAGATTTTTTATAAAGCATGAACTGTAAAAATGTGGCTTTTCATCCACATCTGATACACAATTTGAAATCTGAAATAATGTACTTTATCTTGAAAAAAAGTGAATGGTGGTTTTTTGAAAATGACAGAGAAAAAACAAATGACAATATTTTCTACAAACATTGAGAATTCTTCTTTTATCCTTTTAGGATAGAGGTCAATTACAGTAATGGAGCAAGAATCCCCACCTCTCCAGAGGAAAAAAAGAGTTAAGAAAGAGATATTCACTATTGGAGAAATGCATGCATAAGGAACCTGAATCAACAGTGTAGTCCCATGATTATTGATTTTACTAACTATAAAAGCTAGTAATAGATTGTAATTAATGTTGGAAGTAGACATTCAAAGGCACAAATAGCACTTATGTCTGTAAGTCCTATTAACTTCCATGGCCTTTACAGGCAGCATCTGTGAAAATCTACTCCATTATTAATAATAAGTACATAGATAGTGCAATAAACATATACTATTATATACAAAACACATACTAAAACATGCATCCTGACTAATGCAGATAAGACAATAAATATATAGAACAAATGGCCAAATACTAGATTAACAAGTATGCAGAAATAATGTTTATCTTGTTTTATAGAATTATGACAGCAAATATTGCATTTGTAAAATTGTCTCAGGATAGTTTGGTTTACCAAGGAAAGTATGCTAGTAAAATAGATTTCAGTAAGAAAAATGGAAAAAAATCATAATTCACTTCACTGATGGCTTTATAAGAGATCAATATATAGATTTTAATAGTGATCAACATTTCCTGCCTCAAGTATCCTGCACTTTATAAATTCAGGGAAAAATGTGTTTAAACACTTTGACAAAGGCTTTCAAAAACAGTTGCCTAAAATTCAGCTCCTGTATATTTACTTGTTCACATGAATAAATGTCCAATTTTCAAATGAGATGAGAATTCACAACTCTCATTACAGTCAATGGAACCATCCCTCACTCTGTTGAGGAGGAAACTTTACAAAGTAAGATCTGACGCAAAGCCCACTGAAGTCTATGGGAATCTTTCCATTCGCTTCAATAGGCTCTGGATCAAGCCCCCCAAAAGGAGTTACCTACCTGCCTTGACTGACCTATGTGACTTCCCTCAGGCCAGATTCAACCCGCAAACACAGCAGGGAGCTGCCTCCCTTCCACATGCCGCTCAGAAAAGTGGCTGCCCGACCATTTGTCTTTTAACAACTGCAAGCGCGGGTGGAGGAGGGGAGAGGCTTCTCATGCTGCCTCAGCTCCCAGCACAATCCCATTATTCAGTTCTTGGCCAATGGGCGCTGTCCGTTTGAAGCACAGGCATTGTGCAAAATACCTCTCCCCTCAGGCTTGTAACTATGCACAGATGCACATGGCTCCTGCAGTTAGTGCAGGGGTGGGGCAGGCAAGAAGCCTGGCTGAGAAACATGCTGGCCTGCTGGCCAGGAGTCACCCAGGTATGTCTCCCAGCCAGAGCCTGCCTCTGGCACCTTAGCCCTTCCCTCCCCACTACCCTCTGTCCCTACCTCTTGCCTCCCTATCCCACATAACCCAAACCCTCTGCCCCACTCTTGAACCCAAACCCATTTCCAGACCATGCCTCCCAATCCCCTACCCCAGGTCACAACTCCCTCCTGCCCTAGGTCACAACCCAAATCCCTGCACCCCCACCCAGATTCCGGACCCCAGTCTCCTGCCCCCGGTCACAACTGCTTTCTTCGCCCAAACCCCTTTCACAACTCCACATCCCCTCCTGCACTCCAATCCTTTATCCCAAGCTCCACCCCATACCCTGCACACCTCCACTGATATTATGGATCACTTTCCAAATTCTTGGATTGATCCCCATCAAAAGTTATTATTCAGCCCTGTCCTAATATCACTGTTGCCTTACTTTTAGGACATGGATCATGCTGTGAAGGATTTATTAGGCCTGCACACTCCTTTGTGGGTTTATTGCAGAGTGGTGTTTGGAATATTTTGGCCTCCATACGAGGAATGTTAAAAAACATGGTTTTTTGTAAACATGTAACCGCTGAAATTTTCTGCAGTTACATGTTTATGTATAGGAGGGAGGAAGCTCTGCAGAAGCCAATATGTCAGGGATCCAAGCCAGCTCTGCAGCAGCCCAGGGGTGGGCGGAGGAGTTTGCAGTTAACCGTTTAACCATATATCCTTATACTCTCTATTCCATACAAGATTGAAATCTATTCTGTCATTTGTTCCCCCGTTGAAGGATTTCCCAAAGTAGAAAGGAAAAAAGAAGGAACCTAGTCTTCACAGAAAATTTCCTCTTCAACATTTTCTCTTTGGCTTTTCTACACACAGAAGTTACACCAGTTTTAAACACTTATAAAACCAATTTAGTTACTCTACGTAGACACTCTTAGTTGGATTTAAGAGTGGCTTAATAAAGTTTACCATAGATCTGTTCCAAATCAACTTAAGCTAATTTGATAAATTCTATCAATCAGTGTGACCACACAATCATTTACACAAGTTTAACTTAATCAATTTAGATAATTGGTGCAACTCTGTGTCTACATACATTCTTTAACTACCTGCTCAAAGAGAAATCTGAATCTGCAAAGGTGTCTTTATCACAGGCAGTACCACCAAATTATATAAGAGCCTATCTTGAATGTCATATTTATGTAAACTCAGGCCTCCAAATGGGAATTTGCTTATACAATTGAATGAAATAAGAACCAATGCTCAAACCTGCTGATGGGAGGAGGAGGAAAGGAGGGGCAAAGACAACAAGTGTCCTGGGGCCCAGAGTGTCCCAGGGCCACCACCACAGGGCCCCTTTGAGCTGCCACCAGAGCACTACTCTGCATGGTGCTGCCAGCTGGGCAGCACTAAGGGATGCCTTCAGCCCTGCCCTTTCTACCCAAGGCTCCACCTCTTCTGCGGCACTGAGCCAGTCCCTCCTTCCTTGCCCTGGCACCTGCTGTGGCTGTCGGTCCCACTGCCAGTGCTGAATAAGAACCTTAGTATGATGCACAGATCTCAGGGAGTATTTTGGTTTACTTCCTTAACAAAAAACTATCCTACCAATTAGCAGTAAATCACAATAAATCTCTTCAAGAGAACTTGACTGCAGTCTCCTCTGGGCCACATACTCTACAGAGACCAGAACAGCACACTGGCTTCCTGTCAAGTACCCAGAAGAATTTAAGCTGTTGGTTTTGACCTATAAATCCTAAATAAAAATGAGGCCAATTCTCGTTCCATGACATTTTGCCACAGGTTTGGTCAATGAAGGCACCTGACCTGTAATGCAACTGACATAAACGAGTGGAGGTAGCTAGTAGGGCTCCCCTCCACCCCCCCATGAAGGTCCCTCAGCTTTAGAACTCACTCCCCTATTGATCTGAAATAGTCCAACTTTCATGCACTGTGCATGCTCTGGAAGTGAATAGCATTTTTTTTTTTTGTTACTTCTGAGAGAACATGAGGGCTTTGGTAGAAGATGTGTAATATGTTTTTGCTAGTAGGTTATTGTTGGCTGTGGTGGAGATGCTGATTAGTAGTTGAAGGAAAATTACAAGACTAATTATATAGTTGCATCTTTAACTGTCAGAAAGCACCTATAATAAGGGATAGATACTCCTTTCTGGTGGATGTGTATAAAAATCATAATAAATAAATAAAATAAACAGCACAATCATGGCTATGATGTAAATAGCTAAAGAAAACGAGGGAATAAGAAGAAAAGATAAAATACTGAGGTGACAAAAATACCTTCATCATAGTGAGCAGTAAAATTAATACAAAATTGCATAAAGCACATCTACTGGCAATACTGTATGTAGGATGTGTAAGCTGAGCACATGCACTTGTACATGGAGTCATCTACCTGAGATAGAGAATTTTAATAGCTGTGACTTATTAATTTAGCTTTTTAGGTAAGCTCCATAGAGTGGATATGTATTGAGACAAAATGAGAGAATAATTTTCATTAATGTTGTCATGCTGACAAACAAAAGTTAGAATATAAGTTCTATATGTATCTTGATTGTTAAACAATACCATCAACTTGACTTAAGGAAAGTGTTCAATAGCATGCAAAGGCTAATTATGTTGTACTAACTTACTTTTGTCTAGTATAAAAGAAAGTTCTCTTACTTTGCCAGGATGAGTATAATAGTCTATGAATTTTGAGATCAAAGAAGCAAACGAATATTTTCTAAAGTAAGAGTTTCCTTCACCAAGTTTTACACTTACTACAGCTAAAAGAGCTGTGTGAAGGGATCAGCACTAAACCCAAAGGACAGGCAGTGCACAGCAAGAAAGAGAGCAACTCCCTCGTGCTTTTTGCAGGTCACTACCAAGGACTGTGTTAGCAGATCCACACCAGACCCTTAACAGGCAGCTCTGCTGCTACCAGTAATTAGCTTGGACAGCTCTGGCTCCAAGAGTAGCAGCAAGGCTACACCATAATGAGCTCAGCTGGGATTAGTAGGACAGGGCAGGGAACCAAGAGAGCAGAGGCATTCTGCACTGCGTATGTATCAAGGAGATCAAACAAGGATGGCTGGCTAGGTTATCCCCTCACCACCTCATTCCAAAAATGAAGCACGGCAGTGTATAAAATGCAGGCTAATGAAGAGCGACACCTCCAACAGATGAGAGCCACATTAATTAACACAATCCCTAGATCATGTAATACAGTTTTTGTTAGTGCTAGCAAACTTGTAACTTGTCACTGATTTAGGAAAAAAACCTGATGTATTTTCTCCCTTTTGTTTCTGGTAGAAGATAATGGCATAATCTTGGAATTTTGTAAGGAATTCCTTTGTGTGGCCTCAAGGTGCAAAGAGAAAAAGCTTTAGAAAACAAGCACTCTGTTTTTCCACATATATATTATTTTTAAAAGGATACTCACTTTTCAATCAATAGCTTTTTGTGCTCCCTTTTGAAATATGCCAGTTCGTTCCAGACAGCATCAGAATCTTCTTGGCAAAGCTGGTGGGGATCTGCACGCTGGTGTTTGCTTTTCGTGTTTTCAGTCCTAGTAATAAATGAAAAGTTTTTGGTTTTAAATAACATTTATTTGAGCATTTTGAAACACACACACACACATCTCTCATTCTCAGTCTCTCTCTCACACACACTTATTCACACTCTTGAAATTGCTACATCTAGTGGATGTACACAATTTTATTGGATAAGACTCCTAAAATCTGCTGTATCAAAATTAAATTTCCAATTAAATAGGTTCTGAAAAATAGCCTGCTGGTAGGACATCAGCCTCTGAACTGATGTGTGGAAGATCACAGCATCTCCCTCATTCATTCAGTCAATAGAGAGAAAGTACAAGGTGACAGTTTTGTACACAGTCTCCAGGAAAGGTTATGACCTACCAGGTCTAATTCTATTTCACTTAAATACCCTTAGGCTGTATCTACATTGGTGCGATCTTGCGCAAAAGCAGCTGCTTTTGCACCAAAACTTGCTGCCTGTCTACATTGGTCCCGAGTTCTTGCACAAGAACACTGACGTTCTAATGAATGAAATCAGTGCTTCTTGTGCAAGAACTATGATGCTCTCACTCAGGAATAAGCCCTCTTGTGAACTGTTCTTGAGCAAGAGGCCAGTGTAGACAGGCAACATGAATTTCTTGCGCAAGAAAGCCCTATGGTTAAAATGGCCATCAGAGCTTTCTTGTGCAAGAGAGCGTCTACACTGACATGGATGCTCTTGCGCAAAAGCATATCTCTTGTGCAAAGGCACATGCCAGTGTAGACACTTTCTTCTGGAAGAGTTTTTGCACAAGAACTCTTCTGCAAAAGAGTTCTTGCGCAAAATCATGCCAGTGTAGACGTAGCCTTACTGTGCATTAACAATGATGACAGAAAGAGCAATTAAATAAAACTATTCCTACTTGAAATTCTTTTCATTCTCACGGGGTTCCAAATTCTTACGTAATTCTTATGATTTGTATGAGGACTTGATATGGAGCTGTTCCTAAAACACAATTTAAATATCAGGAGTGGTTTGGGGCTCCTTGTGATAACAAATAAGTTAAAGTTGCTGTAGAAGCAATATAACTTGTAAGTCTTTTACTATTTAATGAATTCTAAGGTTGCACTGAAACCTGCTTTTCCTGAAGATGTTGCCAATCAGGCTACATCTAGACTACAGGATTCTTGCATAAGAAGCTTTATTCAGAAGAAATCTTCTGAAAAAACTTCTTGTGCAAGAGAGCGTCCACACTGCAAAAGCGCATCGAAAAAACAATGTGCTTTTTCGAAAGAGAGTGTCCAGACTGCCTGGCCGCTCTCTCGCATGTAAACAGTGATTGCTGTGGACAGAATGGCCACCCAGGCACCTGTGCTTTTCCCTTTTCCCTCTTCTTCAGAAAAAACTCCCTCTGCCCTGTCTACATACTCCTTTTTGTGAAAGAGCTCTTTCGCAAAAAGGCTTGTTCCTCGTAGAATGAGGATTTTCTATTGCTCAAATAGATTTACTGTCAAAAGAACGTGCTTGCAGTGTGGATGTAACTCAAGTTTTGTCAGAAAAATGGCCGTTTTTCCAACAAAACTCTGTAGTCTAGACATAACCTCAGCCAAAAGTTGGCTTCATTTATGTTTTAAATGGAAAGCCAGTGCTGGTGAAAGATGCCCTGACCACTACTGAAACTGAAGTATATCCATTGGACATACATACAACAGGGAATGGACCATCCCTCTCACTGCCCCAGTGTACATCAAAACTGAAATTATGTGAAAATAGAGGTTAAAGTTCTGCATGCTATTACTAAAAAACTGAACCATCTCAATCTCAGTGGTTTTTTTTAAACTATATGTCATTTGCATTATGATCTTGCATCATGTCCTTCCTGCTACCCAGCTGAGAGATCAAGAATTGGCAATTTTCTGAGTGAGTATGAGATGGACGCTTGATCACTTAGGAAAGGGCAGTTCTTTTGGTCCTTCCTCGGAGCCAGTTTAAACAGGTTAGGACAATAGCACTGAATTTCCTTTTAAAATGAAAAACAAATATACTGAAATATGGCGCCTAAGTAATCAAATATTGCACACTACCGTGGAACGAGGTGTACAGCTAGTTTGGATTAGGAAACCTAATCTGAACTAGCTAGTCCGTGCCGCGTGTAGCCGCGCGGCACGGGGTCCGACCTAGCCGGCAGTTAAAAATGGCGCCGGCCGGCTTTATGCAAATGAAGCCTGGGAAATTCAAATCCCAGGCTTCATTTGCAACTCCGTATGACTACATTACCCCCCCCAGTTCGAACTAGGGGGGTAGTGTCGACATACCCTGTCTTCCTAGAAGTGGAAATCTTCTGAAATGGGGTTAGGGATAGCTGAATTGGCGATATACCAGAGGCCTCATTCTTATTTACACTGGCACTACATTATCATTCTGGCAATGCAAAGCAGCCTTAAATTTAGAATAAATTATATTTACATCCATTTTAAGGCCTCTTTACTTGATTACAAAGATATGATGGGACTTTAGAGTATGCCTCCACACCAGTGTAAGCCAGGACTGAATTAAGGCTCAAGTCAAATTCCCCTGTCTACACACACATCATATTAATCAATGGTCCCAGGATCCCATAGGATTGAGGGTCAATGCCTGAGTAAAATCAGAATCCAGGGCTCAAGTTCTACTTCTTTGCAGTGTAGATGCAGCCCCACTGGACTCATGATCTGTAAGTTTGCCACAGTATCCCACAACCATTCTGGACAGCCACGTTTGGTGTATAGACAAAATTTCCGACAAGTCAAGTTATGCCAAGAAAAAGGAGCTACAGAGGTCACATTTACAGAGGACTCTAGGAGGTCTGAGATATGGATGGTTGGACTTGGGCTCACATAATGCAATTAATATGCTGGAGCTCCACTTTGGACCTAGATTTAAATAATTCCCAACGTCGGGTAACAAATAAGTGTAGATGCTCCAGTTAATAAACCTAGGTCTGCTAACTCAAGTGCTACTAAATCCAGCTTACATTGTTGGTCAAACATAACCCTAGTGTCAATGAGAACCTGATCATGCATCTTTCATTAGACATTATCAGTTTAAAAGGAGAAAACCAGGGCCCTGATTATGGAAAACATCCTTTCAGGAAACCACTGAAGCACATGATGAACTTTAGTAAGTTAAGTCCCCATAACACCTTGATTAAAAGATTTCCTATAACAGGGCCTAAATACTTCACCCCTTAAAATTTCAAATATTGAAATACTGTAATTATCTATGGTCCCAGATTCCCCTGTATTAAGATTTCCAGATTTTGAAGTGAGAATTTTTGCCACATATGGGGGTAATTTTCAAACATTAAAAACTCATATTTGCCAAAGTTTTAAGATTCTCTTTATTAAATTTTTTAACATTATAATATGATTAATATTTGTTTCCAGGATGACCAGAAATAATATCTTTACAGCTGGTATACAAAGGTGAATATTCCTGTATTTTGAAGCATATGGTGTTTTTCCACTTCAATAACTGAAGTCAATCCTAACATCTTTTTTTTTAATATTTGAATTTTTCAGTGTTTCACTGAGGAATTATTATTTGTATATTTAAATATATTTGTAAATATTGTTTGTAATATAAAAAGCAATTTTTCCATAATAGAAATTGAAAAATATACAGTCTACAAATTAATCCACTAAGGAATCAGACACACATAATAAGTAACCCTATCTTTGTCCAGCAGTCAAGCTTAAAATGAGATCTTAAACAAAGTAAGTTGTCAATTCATGACATTTTACTCTTACGATTTAATCTTAAAATTTAATCATACGACTGTATGTCATGTGTTCTATTTTAATAAAAGATAAAGATTTGATCATCACATAATGACTTCATTTGAATCAAAGTCACTTTTTGAACACCTATACAATAGCTTCATTCACATTTAATACTTGGGTGAAATGTTTTCAATGAGCTTTGTAACTTACTTGCTATAGCCCTCTTCCCACTGCTTTAATTGCTCTTTTACCGCTCTGTAGTTGGTCTGTAACATCTGCAACCTCTCTTTGCGTTTTTCATGGGCTTCTCTTAGCTCATCATTTTCTTGGGTCTGTATTGCACCAAACAGAAAAATTAAGAGTTTGGTTAAATGTAACGGAGTGTTCCATACTAGCAACATGATTCAGCTAAAATTCCATTTTTTTAAACAATTGTTACACCTACAATTTGTTGAACTTATGACATGTAAACAGAATGTTTAAAAATCATAGTAGTTTGTTTCTAAGAATTGGTTTTCTATTTCTCATGACTACTTTCAAGTATATCTGGCATCTCAGTCTTTCACGCTGCTTAAACAATTTCAAATATTTACTACCCAAGTTGTTAATGTTCTTCCCTTAGAGGAACTGATTTAATACACATGGGAATATATAGGCTAAAAAGGGATTGTCCCCATTTGTATTTTACTCAGAAATTCATTTGTTAATATTATGGGCTATTCAGCATTTATAAGTTTTATATGCTGGGTGAAATCCTGGCACCATTAAAGTCAATGGCAAAACTACTGTTAACTTCAAGGAGGTCGTGATTTCACCTGTTTTTATACATTTATTCCTACATCACCTACTCTATGACCTGTTGTACAGTAATAAGTAGGAAAAGCAAGGGAAAAAATGGACCCATGTTTTAATATGACCAGGGTCACCAACTGGAAGGGTGGGGGAGTGGGAAGGGGCATTTGCCCCAGGGCCTGGCAATTTAAATTGCTTCCAAAGCCCTGCATGGCATTCTCCAGGCAGCACTGAGGGCTGGTTGGAAGGAGGCGCAGCGCCGTCTGAATGGTAATGAGGGCTGGCTGCCCCTAGCCCTGCCCCTTCTGCCCACTGCCCCATTCTTCCTGGCAGGGGAGATATTTAAGAACAGGTTAGATAGACATCTGTCAGGGATGGTGTAGACGGAGCTTGATCCTGCCTTGAGGGCGGGGGGCTGGACTCGATGACCTCTCGAGGTCCCTTCCAGTCCTATTATTCTATGATTCTATGATTCTATATTCCAGGATTATGAATAAACAAAGTTTGTATGCAGTTTAATATTGCATTCCCAATAAATATAGGTATTAATATTAAAAATGAGAGCATTTAATTGACTTCTTACAGTATGGGGCAAATTAAATCCTACGGTGTAATACAAAATTAAACTAATAGTAATTTGTAGTAAAATTTGATCTCACTTCTTCTGCTGTACTTTATATTCCAGGATTATGAATAAACAAAGTTTGTATGCAGTTTAATATTGCATTCCCAATAAATATAGGTATTAATATTAAAAATGAGAGCATTTAATTGACTTCTTACAGTATGGGGCAAATTAAATCCTACGGTGTAATACAAAATTAAACTAATAGTAATTTGTAGTAAAATTTGATCTCACTTCTTCTGCTGTACTTATGCACTGAATTTCCAATTAATTGAATGGGAGTTCTGCTTGTAGAGAAACGGCAGCACCTGCCCCTACATATCAATATCATCAAAATACATCATTAGTAGATGTGTACTGTTTAAGAATAGGGAATTCCTTCGGTATGAACCAATAAATAAGAGATATTCTAGCACCTAGAGCTGTAAACAATACAAATTAAATCTCACAATAAAACATGGCTAGCAGTATAGAAAAGTGCCAGTCTCTCCATATTTATGCTGAAGCTAGCTTCCCAACAGCAGTCTGATTTTTCAATGCACGTACTCAAAATTGAAACAATCCAACTGAGACTTCAGATGCCACATTGCATCTAAGGTTAGAATTTTTCTAGGAATATCTAATGCAAGACACACCACCAGGCTTAGAGACAGCTTGGATTCACTGTTCCCTGTTAAAACATTTTCCAGTTTAAGTGTCAGAAACATGAACTAATACTTAAAAATGTCAAAAGTCTATATTTATATAGATTTTAGAGTGTGTCTCTGTCCGCTAGTCCATTTGTTCAAGAACTCCTCCTAAATGGTAAGAGCTAGGGCCACCAAATCTGGTATGCAGTTTTCTCTTCTCCTAACTTAAAGCAAGGTCGGGGTTTGGTGGTACTAGGAGAACCAGAAGCCCTGGGACAAGGACAGTTTTCCATAACATGCAAAGGGAGGGGCTGCTGTTCAGTTGCATGTCATATGAGAGTAGCCACTAGGGGCAGCGAGCCCACAGACGAGAGCTATCCTGTATAGAATAGTGTATCTGCCAGCATACCACTACATTTGTTTGTTTTTTGAAAGGAGATATGCAGATTTGGTGGTAATTTGCATATCTTCTTCTGATCACTTTTTCGAAAGCAGGTTTTTCTAAAGTGAAAGTAGTCTGGATGCATTTCCCCTGGAAATAAACCCCTTTTTCGAAAGAAAAAAAAAACACAAAAAACTGCTCTTTCTTAAAAAAAGGAGGTTTACGCAGTTTTTCGAAAAGGGGTTTATTTTCCAAAAAAACCGCATCCAGACTACTTTCACTTTCGAAAAACCTGCTTTCGAAAAAGTGATCAGAAGAAGATATGCAAATTAGCGCAGAATTTCCATATCTCAATTTGAAAAAAAAGTAGTCTAAACGTACCCTAAGTAGCCTCCCTGCCCCAAACCCTTTCCCCACTCACTGCCCTTGGTCACACTGTGGGGGTGGGGGATGGAAGAGAAAAAGGCCTCTGGTGGCTGCAGGGGGCTTGAGGGCAGAAAACAGGATCCTGGAAGCTGGTGAGGCCCAGGAGGGGGAGTAAAAAAGCCACTGGCAGGCTGGAGGGATCTGGGGAGAGAAAACAGGCCCCTGGAAGGCGGTGAGGGACCTGGTGGGAGAGAACAAGCCCCAGTGGATGGGGGAGGTCTAGGGAGGGAGACAACAGGCCCCTGGCCACCAGCCTTCTGCACCACCACCCATATCCTCAAGGCCCTGCCCTGATGGACCTAGGCAACCCTGGGTAAGTCTGCTAGGAAGTACTGAAGGAGTAAAAGTGCCTTTCACTACTTTTGAAGTTTCTTGTACCAAAATACTTTACAAGTATTATATCAATACTAAAATGCCAACTAATATACAGACTGTAGGATTCCCAAAGCCTTTTTCTTTTTTTCTTGTTTTGCAAGAAACTAATAACTAAAAACCAAATTCTCTTCTGGGTGCAGAATGTATGTGTGTTGGGCGGGGAAGAATCCAACTGCAGATGCCCAGTTCTCTCGCCCAAACTATGCCAGCCCCAGACCAAAGTACAGCTCTAGTTTAGCATAACTGGTAATAGTCCCCAACAATATCCTGGATTTCTGAGAATAGCCAGTATGCAGTAGCAATCTGGCCCAACTCTTTTATGCTCCTGGCACGACCCTGCACACCAGTGCATGCAGGTGGTATAAATAAATATGCCAGCTGTACACTAGCAGAGAATCCTCACATGGGGTATGTCTACACTACCCTCCTAATTCGAAATAGGAGGGTAATGTAGTCATACCGCAATTGCAAATGAAGCCCGGGATTTGAATTTCCCGGGCTTCATTTGCATAAAGCCGGCCGGCGCCATTTTTAAATGCCGGCAGTTCGAAACCCGTGCCGTGCGGCTACATGCCGTGGAATGAGGAATACAGCTAGTTCGGATTAGGAAGCCTAATCCGAACTAGCTACTCCGTGCCGCGTGTAGCCGCGCGGCACGGGGTTCGAACTGCCGGCATTTAAAAATGGCGCCGGCCGGCTTTATGCAAATGAAGCCCGGGAAATTCAAATCCCGGGCTTCATTTGCAATTGCGGTATGACTACATTACCCTCCTATTTCGAATTAGGAGGGTAGTGTAGACATACCCATGGATAGGGTAATTCTCAGCTAACAAGATCACCCCATTTCTAGACCCTTTATGTAGCTTTCGGGCCTATGGACTCCTGTCCTAATAATTTTAAAACAACCCCGTATAACAATAGCCTTGAGATGCCTTTTGCTGTGGGCTTCCAAAGCAGTATGTATTAGTAATAGTAAAAAGGCCTGCATGACCTATTGTTATATGCACATAGCAGTCTGGTGCATATTTTGTCATGGCCTAATGCACCCTTTGCAAAGTGCACGTTATCCAATGACTCGCAGTTTCATAAATTATGAATGACTCATTGCCAACTTTTGAATTCTGCATGGCCCAGAAGAAGATGGCAATAATGAGAGAATAGCAGGTGTGCTAGTACTACGGGGTCAAGTGGGAGGAGCAGGAAAGCTACATTACGAAGCCTGGTTTTCAGTAAAAAGTCCATCTTTGTAGGGCTTGTAAGGTCCTCTGGAGTTGCAGATTAAAAAGCCCACTTTAAACAAACTGCAAGGGCTGTAGGAATTGCTGTCATCAAGCAATTCTTCAGTAGTTTTTTTATGTTTATATTTCCTTCATTTAATATGGAATTAATAAAGTTGAAAGAATCCTCTACCACAAAATGATAGAAATTAGCAACAAAAAGATATTTTATCATCTTTTCTATTCTCTGTCAATGCAGGATAATTCGCTGCTGTATATTATCTAGTGCTATGTATGCCCTTCGGATTTAAGTGGGCCAAGTGATAGAGTTTCCACAGCATCCCCTGGCAGACTATTTTAAAGTATAATAAATCTGTGAAGTTTTTTCCGGATACTCAGTTTGCATTTTCCCACTTCTAATTTCATGCCATTATTTCTAGTTATACTCTCTAGTACAGTGGTTGTCAACCTGTGGTCTGCAGACCCCTGGTGGTCTGTGACGGTACAGCAGTGGGTCTGCAGAAAATTCAAAAGAAAGAATCGGGCCCACCGTGGGACTGGGACTTTCCACCAGGCAATTCTTGCCCAGGGATCACCGTTCGTGACCATCCATCCTCCTGCTGCCAGCTGCGCTGCCGTTTATGCTCCAGCCTACTCCCCCCTCCCAGTCCTGTGGTGGGCTTGACCCTTACTTTTCTTTTCCTTTTCTTGTTTTTTCTCCGCCAGGGCTTCGTGCCTAGCCAAGAGTGGAGTGCCAGGGTAGGAGCTGCCTTTGGCCACGAAAGCCCCCTCGCTACATCCTCCATGGATGGGCAGGGGACACAGGGGGCAGGAGCTGAGAAAGCAGCATGGGCCAAGGGACGTGCTGGCTGCTGCTTCCCACTGCTCCCCTTGACCCAGAATGGCAAAAGGCAGCGGTTTTCCCTGCTGGGCTGGGAAGTGAGCCTGGGAAATGCTGCAGACTGCTGTACTCTGCTGAGACATCTATTTGCTTACAGAGTCTGAGTTTGTTTGCTTGCAGGCACAGAGCCCCTCAGATCCCATTTGCTTTGAACAGTGAACAGCAGCCAATGGGAGCTGAGAAACTCGGTGCCCTGCAGTCTGCGCATCCCTCAGCCCGTGCTGAAGATGACAAGCTGAGACTGTACTCTGGAGTTGGCTTATAAACAGATCAATCACTTTTTACCATTTTTTCTCTTTTTTGAAACGGTCATTTTACTATTTAGCTATTAGAGAGATATTATCTCTCAATACTACTATATGGCTGTGTCTACACTGGGCCACTTATTCCGGAAAAGCAGCTGCTCTTCCGGAATAACTTGCCAGCTGTCTACACTGGTTGCTTGCTTTTCCAGAAAAGCAATAACGATCTACTGTAAAATTGTCAGTGTTTTTCCGGAAAAACTATGCTGCTCCCGTTCGGGCAAAAGTCCTTTTCCGGAAAAACTGTTCCGGAAAAGGGCCAGTGTAGACAGCACAGTAGTCTTTTCCGCAAAAAAGCCCCGATCGCGAAAATGACGATCGGGGCTTTTTTCCGGAAAAGCGCGTCTACATTGGCCACAGACACTTTTCCGGAAAAAGTGCTTTTCCGGAAAAGCATCCTGCCAATGTAGACGCGCTTTTCCGGAAATACTTATAACGGAAAACTGTTCCGTTTTAAGCATTTCCGGAAAAGGGTGCCAGTGTAGACGTAGCCTATTTGTTTAGATAATATGATCTATTGTAAATGTCAAATGATTATCAAGTAATGGAATGTTTTAAAACAGCTATATTGTTTGGGAGAGTCCATAAAGTTTTAATAGATTGAAAAGAGGTCGGTATTCTTGAAAAGGTTGGGAACCACTGCTATAGTACAAACATATGTAATTCCCTTTCTGCTAGTTCAGTCCCTCCTGAAGGCCTGATTTTGCCATTCTTACTCAGGTTGAACAAATTAGTTACTCCATAAACAGTCTTATTGCTTAAGGTAGTAAAGTCAGTGTGAGTAAGAATTTGTACTGATTATTTGTGTAGCTCTTCACTGAGGCAGTTCAAATTTGTCATTATTTTCTGGTAATGAAGTACCAAAAGGTGACAATATTTCCGATGCAGTCACTCCCACAATCATATAGAATAGGAGTGTACATGGTTAACCAGTTAATCATTAATCATCACCCTGACTGGGCTGCTTCAACTTGGTGGTGCTCAACAAATTTCCATCCCGGCTGTAAGGGTTCCTCGAAATTCTTCCATATTTAAAAGAGTTCCGTGTCCAAAAAAAATTGGAAAACACTGCTCTAGAGGTTCAGAACCAGACATAGCCTTTGAGTTCACATAAGGCAAGTGGCTACTTCAACTATACCATAACTAATTCTAACTAATAAGAGGACTGGACAACTATCTATGGACACAAAACATAGTTCTGTTTAGCTTTCTGCAGAAGCAGTGAAGGAACTGATGTGGTTGTGCACTCTCTTATGCAGAGGGAATTAGTAACATCACCCAGTGCAAGAGCATTCCTACGCCCTTTAAGAGACATGAATTTGTTATATAGTTTCACAGTTCAATGCAAGACATGTCAAATAGCACAAGTGAAAATATACAAAAGCCCTCAAAGGAGAACTAGACAGCTTTCATAAATCAGAAGGTCTGACAATACTGGTTGATAAGGAACCTTTATACAAGGTCCTGAGATTCTAAGTATCAATACTGCCGGGCCCATCACAGAACAAGAAGTATGAATGGGGTTTTGCCTAATCATATTTTTCTGACCACTAGTTTAACTAGTGGTAAAGAAAACAACAAAGCTTTCAGTCTAAGAACAATACATCTGTTATTGAGTTTCTGTTTATTCTGTTCATCCTTGCTCTGGAGATCTACCAAGAGGTAACACTATCTCCTGAACAGAGACTACTTGTACTAGTCCAGTAGTATCTGACTTACAATTAGCTACTACAGCATTTTCTTCAAGAAAATGTGCCAGCCTCACAGAGGGTAACTGAATGCATTCACTGAGTCAAAAACAAGGCCCATTGGGGTCACTGCCTTCTGACAAAGTATATGTGAGTGAATGTCTCCCTGCCTGTTGAATTACACTCACTGCTCAGTCCCTTTTTCAGATCATTATGAAATATATCGGAACTTGAGGCATGGTGCTGTTAGCCTCTTGCCATCATTAAAACTGACCATTTATTCTTCATCTTTGTTTTCAGTTTCTTAACTAATTTCTGATCCATTACAATTCTTAGCTTCTCAATCCATTAGGTTTAATTTCTTTAGAAACAGTTTGTAGGATTTTCTCAAAGGCCTTTTAAATGTCCAGAAACTTACCTGGACATTTAAAGTCCAGATAAATTTCAGTTCTTTCTTCCTTACCAAATATTTGTACTGGTTTGTTCAAAGAATTAGTGAGATGTGATTTCTCTGTGAACTGTGTTGGTTAGACCCAGCTACATCACTATATATGTATTATAGTCCTAATTATCATTTCAAACAATTCACTAGGTACATGTATAAAGACCTACCAGTTTATAATTCCCTTAAAACACTTTTTAAATATAAGTACAATATTTGCAAATCCTCAAGTTTCTGGTATTAATTTGATTTTAATGAAAGTACTTGTTTTTATATTAGCTTACCCACCACTTTACTCCTAAACTCTATTTTTTTCCTTGACGGAAAGTGCCAATGGAATGCTCAACCCCAGTAAATGATCGCCACAGGGAGGTATATCTAGGGCTCATTGCTGAGGATAGTGCTGAGGACGGGGCAACAGGATGCATCTCAGAATCTTTTCATATGATACCTAAATCTCTTAGAGAACCTTATCATTAATACCAGATAAAAGTAGGTGTCATCCACAAATTCTTCCATGGTGAAAAGCTATGCAAAGAAATTATTTATTTAGCTTCTTATTAATGTCTTTATCTGTCTTACCTGTTCCCTTTTTATGTCTGCTTCAACTAATTTTTAAGAGCATACAAACACATTTTTCATGCTGCAACCTTCTAATCCTGCACAATGAAAAATTTGAAATCAATGCGCATTACTGATGTAATCCTCAATTTTAGGGTTTTTTTGGGGAGAGGTCTTACAAATATCACTACAAGATTCACTTTAGGAAGATACAATTTTAAGCACAAGGAAGAACATTAATATATGCTAACACAATTACAGTCCATATAACAATGTATGTATTCTATATTTTAAAACATATGTTTATTTTGATGTAACTTTTATGTATGAAAGCTTGCAGCTAAAAAGCTGTGTGTGTGTGTGTGTGTGTGTGTGTGTGTGTGTGTGTGTGTGTGTGTGTGTGTGTGTGTTCACCTTTAACTGTAGTGTCTTCTCTAAGTTTTCTATCTTCTTTTCAGCTATTTTAAGCTTCCTTAGCTCCTCTGACTCTCTAAAAGAGCTCTTTGGGGACAAAGACCTTGAACGTTTCACAGGTGGTTCCTGGAGAATAAAACAAGGACATGGTTGAACTAGTTGGAACACTGGATTATGAAAGACATGCAAAATTAAAGAACAAGTAATTTTGAATACTAATAATGAATTATAAAAAAAATCCTGCACGGAATACTAGAGAAATAACAAGCAGAATTACCACAGCGCTACCACTAAAGGTTTCTCTGTGACTTGTTAATGAGAATATTCATTTACATTTACATTGTTTCTTTCAGAATAATGATGTCCCATTAGGGAAGACTAAAGGGTTATAGACTCAAAAATGCAAGAAACCTCATTACAAAGGAGGGGATAGAGGCTGGTCTAATTGCTCTATAAGGGTCCAAGGTTACACTTGATAGGACAACCAGAAACAAGAGGGAAAGGATTTTTTTCCCTTTGAAATAGTTTAACACACTGTGCAGTTGAAGGAACAATATGCTTGAGGAATATAAATACAACAGACAGTAGATCTTATACCATAATGACCATATGGTCATTAACTATAATGTAGCTAACTAGAGACAAGAATATGTGTTTATATTATGTACAGCTTCCTATAGCAATCTGGAGAAAGAATATGTGAAAGTAACACTTAAACTGGGCAGCATTCTTATTCTTACTATGTCATATGTCCTTATATAAAAAAATAAAATCCTCTTTAAATCAGGTGTTCTGATTTTCTGAATAACTTTGGTTAAGGACAGTGAAATATTAAGCAGCAGCTTAAAATCCACGATGGAATCATTTTTAAATTTGAGCAATATGGAGTTTTCAGCATGCAGGCACACTATTAGTGCTAGAGGTCAGATTTTTTAGCTCTCTTCATTACAATTTGACATGTATATCTATTAATAATAATTATTAAACTACATAAATCATTTAAACCAGAGAAATCATGCACAAACCTTGAACAAATACTGGGGAGAGTTTTTTTGAGCAATTACAATTTTTATTTTTACAAAAACTAAATGATGTGTAACTGGAAGAGTTTGGAGTCTCAGTTACCATACAACATATAATATTCTTCATTGATTGTTAAGTATGTAAGTGTCAGTGCTTTATCTGTCATATAATTTTATTTTAAACAATATATCAAAAAAGCATTTTCAATATTGTCAAAATAGATTTTAAAAATGTTTTCTGTGACCATGGAGAAGGGGAAACCACAGGTTTTAACAACACTCTATACCCATAAGCTTATCTTACAAGATCCTGCTATACAAATTAAGAGACACTTTATTTTTCCATGGCTATTTGTCTTGCAGTATAAGTTTAAAAGTACCTAATCTGCAGAGGAAGCTTATGCATCAATGTTTAAAATACTTTTTAACATGTAATATATATTTACTATGGTGCCATGTTTCCTAGAAGGATAAGATTTCTATAGAAAAGTGAAATTATTGGTCAATTTTTTTATATAAAATATTGACTAGTATTTTCAAAAGTGACTAATTATTTTGTCTGCCTCACTCAATGAAGTGCTCAGTCTGAGACCCATTAATGGAAAATTTAAGATTTTGCAGATCTCTTCAAGTTTTCAGTGATAGTAACAAATAATCTTGGAAACTTCAAAAAAGGATCTTGTATTCTGTAAGGCACTTCCTGTTTCATTGGGTTGCAAAAAGGTCCTTGCATGGGGTACTCCACTGATGGAAGATGTAGCACGCTACTGAAGGATACACTCCCACTTCAAATCCCTGGGGAAATGTTTGCTAAGGCTGTTCACCAGGGAATGTGCACTGCTCAGAAGGTAATTGGATGTTGTATGCAGCGGTTCCCTGCCTTGGCCACCTCTCTGCAGAGCTGGTAGGGCAGGGCAGGGGAAGAGGAGAAATCTCACTCCTCTGTTTATGTAGTAGACAGTGATCTTGTCTGTTCTGATCTGGATACATGTGGACCAGATACAAATACCTCCAGTTTGAGAATCCTCTCATGAGGGGATCCCTGAGAAGGGACAGGGAGAATGCTGTGGGAGGGACAGGAACTCTCAATTATGGCCCGTCGATAAGATGTCCAAAATCCATTTGTCCAGAGTGATAAGGTGCCACATTGAGAAAAAAACATGTCACTAAAGTGATTGGAAGATAATAGGTAGTATGAAGGCTGGTTGATGGCTGTCAGGTATCCTGTCAAAAAGCTGTTTTGGCAAGTGGCTGGGACTGAAGAGAAGAGAATAGGGCTGCATGCCACTGTTGTTTTTTTCTGTGGGATCTGTAGGTCTTTTGGTGGAAAGAGAAAGGTGCTGGGAAGTATCTAGAAAGAGGAGGCCTGAAATATTTTCTGTGGGAGCATGTAGCTCCATGGAGCAGAAGGGAATGAAAGGACTCATCTATCTTTTCCACTGAAATGATGTTACTTTCAAAAAGAAGATCCTCTACAGTTTCTTGGACCTCCTTGGAGAACAAAGACGCCTGCAACCATGAGGCCTAACTCACAAGTACTGAGGTAGCCATGGAGACACTGTCCGCATCAGTGAGTGACAGTTGGAGGGAAAATCTTGCTTTCAGCCTTTCCTCATCCAGGATGGTCTAGAGCTGGGACTTGTATTCCTGTGGCAACTAATTAATGCATGTTGACAGCTTGTTGTAATTCATAAAGTCATACTTGGAGACATCAGTGCCTGGTAATTTGCTATGTAAAATAACAGGCTAGCTAATAAAAATTTCTCCTTGCTCAAGATAGTCAGTCTCCTGGAATCCGTGTCTGGAAGGGTGAACCTGAGCTCATGCAGTCTTCTTTATTCTATAATAATCGGTAAAGCTAGCATTAGGATGGGAAAGCAAATATTCTTTTCTGAGGGAACTAAGTACTTTCCCCCTTCTTTGGGGTTGAGGAAAAGGTGGTAGCTATATCCCAAATTTGTCCATTCTGCACCTTTAATGAGGAACATTACTTTAGAAGGAGCTGCTGCAAGGATAATGTCCAGAAGACCGTGTGTAAGGTCCTCAACCTACTTCTAGAGGGATGTGAAGAGAGTCAATTATCCTTCTCAGGAAGTACTGGTGCTGCTTTTAATCATCTAATGGTGAAGGAGAGGCTGGAGTCATTATGTCATCTGAGGAGGATGAAGAAAGCATGGCTGGCAGATCTGGAGGTACCAGCTGTTCCTTCTCAACCAAACATTCTTGCAGGGACTATAGCTCCTCTTGGACACATGTCCATTGGGGGAGGGGGGAAGAGATGATGTATAGGTTGCTGGCATTATGGCACTTCACAGCAAGGATCCCAGGGACTCAAATAAGACCAATGAATATGGCAAAGTAGTATGATGTTGGACCCCATGGAGGGTAGCATTGATCATCCCTTGATTAATATTTTGCTCATGAACGGCAAAAGCATTCAGGTGATTTTAGAAACCCTGTCAGAGCTGATACATCTTTGCCCGATTGCCAGAGGGACCACTGGTACCAAGTGATTTTCTTCTTATGAATAAGTGTCATCAGACTCTCACAATGGAGCCAATAGTACTACAAGACTCACCTCCAAATGACCAGGTACAGGAAAAGGGGAATAATGCACCAGTGGTGTAAGGTCTTCCACCTCACAGCTGGAGCTTAGGACCAGTGAATGTCAAGTTGACAGTGTCATGAAATCTGTCAGCAGGATGAGATCTGAAAGGATCCATATAAATTGCCAGATGCTAAAGAAAAAAATGTATCTAAGTCTTACTGGAGGAGAGTTGGCTTGGTGCTGACATGATCTTGGCACCAACACTGCATTGGGAGAATGGTCTCTTGTTTCTTTATGGAGCTGGAATTCATCCTGCCATTTCAGAGTGCAATTTTGTGGCACTGGTAGCTCTGGGTATGTCTATACTAGCTCGGTAGTTCGCGCTAGGTAGGCAAATGAGGGCAACCAGAGTTGCTTCATTTGCATCTTCCCGGGTGCCGCCATTTTTAAATCCCCCTTAGTCCGAACTCCGTGCCCGCGGCTACACGCGGCACGGAGTAGGTAGTTCGAATTAGGATCTCTAATTCGAACTACCGGTACACCTCATTCCACGAGGAGTAACGGTAGTGTAAGTAGGAATAAGAGATCCTCCGGAAAAGGGCTTTATTCCGGAGGATCGCGCCAGTCTGGACGCTCTTTTCCGGCTTTTCCCCAAGCCGGAAAAAAAGCGGCGGCCATGTTTATTTAAATCCCTCGGGGGATATTTAAATCCCCTGCGGATTTCCCTATTCCAAAGTTCGAAATTAGCATGCCTCTTCCAAAGAAGGGGCCAGTCTAGACGTAGCCATCTAGTACAAAAAACTAACTACTAAAATCTAAATTAATTTACACTATTAAAGAGAAAGCAGTATACAGACACAGAAGCATCTCATGATAGAAGGAAACGAGACATGCTCAGTCTTCATCACTCCCACTTATGTCTTCTTTTGGAAGCTTGAGGAAATGCGAGTACAGACCAATGACACTTCTATTGAAGAATTTCAAGTCCAGAGTGCATGGGAGTGCACATGCTCCCACAGTGAAGACCATATGGAACAGCACTCAAAAAAGAATATCAAGGAGAACACAGGCTAGTACAGGTGTCACCGATACCAGGCACAATAGCAGTTGGCTGCCAGTCAGGAGGAAGGGTAGAAAGAAGGTGAGACAAGACTAAAAGGGAGTAGACCATACTCCCTCAATTGCTAGATGGCAGGGGAATCATGAAACTTTTTTTGCAACATGGGCTCAGAGTATAGACAAGGTAGAGAACTATCTCCATTGATGACAGCAACACCAATAATGCCTTATGAGAACTGGTTGGACTAGTAGAAACTGTACTCCTGAACACACTTCAGTTTGAATATGTTGTTGCCTGTTAAGTAATCTGAACAAAGATTTGTGGAGAGAACAGACCGGATCCGGGCTTTTCAGCTGCAGTCAGGTAATTCACAGGCAGTTTATGCCAGAAAACTGAAGTTTAATTTTATAGCCAAGTTAAAGTAGGCTATGTAGTAAATGTACTGTAATATGATTGCCAGGGGCTGCTACAAAACTCATTTTGATTGAGGGAGATGGCTTCTGTAACACCATGCCTCACAACTGCAAACTTGATAGCTTCCGCTGCCAGGATTAGGCAGTTGAAGTTCAATCCTCAAATTACACAGTATTTTAAATGTGTTTAGATAAAAATTAAACACACAGATTTGCTCGCTTTGAACATTTTTTATTAAAAAAAAACCTTTGACAAAAAATTAGCCTTTTTTTTAAAAAAAAATGTTGTACAAAAAAGGTTCAAAGCGACCAAAGCGGAGAAGGGAGGAACATAAGAAAGATCATCCAGAATGAGGAGAGGGCAATGCTGAAGGCTTTCAGTAAAGTAGTTTTAAAGAATAGCTACTGAAAAAACATGCTAAGTAATGTAAGAAACAGACAAATTCACTTTCCACTCTTAATGGAAACATAAGCATCTATGGATTTTATGACAGAAAGATGAAACATTCTCTGTAACTTGTAGAAAATATATTAAGTTTTTATATGGATAGTCTTCTAATTTGGTAAACAACTTTTAGGAATGACTCTCTCTATATGTGTAGTATCTTTGCACATCACATGAAATACATGCAGCAAAAAGTGCCACTTTTCCCACAAGAATCTTGTATAACTAGTTTACTCCATAAAACACAATATGGGAAAAACTAAAAGTTTACCAGATTGTTTAATAACAAAAGGAACTATTAAAAGTCTTACTTAAAGTTAAGCATATAGTTTGCTGGTTCAAGCTGTTTTGCTGAATTGGACCTAAAACTTATTAGATTAAGGTAACTTGGCCTTCTTGTTGATGCCTTGAGCAATCATGAGCAAATTCTGATATATCCATCAGGCACAATAGGTTGCTAGTACGGTCAGAACACTAAAGATAAAATTTTATGTCCTCTATTTGGAACATTGCAAAAACAGTCAGGCTACGTCTACACTGGCCCCTTTTCCGGAAGGGGCATGTTAATTTCACCTATCATAGTAGGGAAATCCGCGGGGGATTTAAATATCCCCCGGGGCATTTAAATAAAAATGTCCGCCGCTTTTTTCCGGCTTTTAAAAAAGCCGAAAAAGAGCGTCTACACTGGCCCCGATCCTCCGGAAAAAGCACCCTTTTGAAGTAGGAATAAGAGCCTCCGGAAAAGGGCACTTTTTCCGGAGGATCGGGGCCAGTGTAGACGCTCTTTTCCGGCTTTTTTAAAAGCCGGAAAAAAGCGGCGGACATTTTTATTTAAATGCCGCGGGGGATATTTAAATCCCCCGCGGATTTCCCTACTACGATAGGTGAAATTAACATGCCCCTTCCGGAAAAGGGGCCAGTGTAGATGAGCCCTCAGGGACTTATGTAGGCCAAGTTAGGGGTGTTTGTAAGGACAGCAAGAAAGATAAATTTGTGCACACATAGTGAATTTTATAACCATTTTGATTGAATTCTCACTTTTCGAGAAGAGGAATGGGGATTTCTTATTACAGCTTTGTAAAAGCTAGAAAGGGGCTGGATGGGAACTCATAACAATAAAATATAATCTTGGTCTTTATGTCCAAGATTATCGTACAGATGACAAGACAAATCACAGTGAATATGCAAATTTAATAGGGATTTAACCATTAGGCCCTTCACGTTCAGAAAACATAGCTTTTACTTGAAATACTATGCTCATTGTCCTGTAGTGTTGCAGATGTAGTATGTGAATTTGTACAGCTGCCATCATAAAAAAACAGCTCATATGTACATACACACCAAAGCATATTCCAAGATGTAACTCAAGTGGACAGTAAAATGACCTCGTCTTAATTTACCAGGATAGGCACAGTTTTTTATACTCTTCACACAGTTTTCTTTTGGAACACCAGAAATGTCCAAGTTTTACTTCATTTCATCAGTTAAAATGTTTGACTATTTATAATTTACAAGTTTGTCTCAGATGTTGTTATACTGAATAGAACATGCTTTATGTTTATTTGCTCTATGTTTACTAGGATGACACCCAAATGGAATTAGGGTGCAGTATGATGAACAGTGTTTTGAGTGAACAGAAAAGTCACTCTCAAACAAAACATAGATACGAATAAAGGTGTTCCACTGCTCAAAGTAAATGTTAACAGCTGTTCAGTGTTTCATTCAGAACCCTAAGTTACTGTAATAATATTCTCCATTCTGAAAAACCTAGATGTCATTATTGAGTCAGCACCTGGCAATAGTTATACTTGCATACGCTATAAAAATGAGTAGTTTTTCTCTTGTATGAATATTTTAACTGTTTAAAAACACTACAAAAGTGGCCTGATTTTGTCTGTCTGTCTGTCTCTGAAGGGTCCTGCCCGCTCAGCTCTGGCCATAGCCTTTTAAGCAGCCAGAGCTGAGCAGGCAGGACCCTTGGGAGGCGGTATCTGCCCACGCTAGGCTGCCAGGCAGCTTTGCTTGTCCCCAAACTGTGTCTGGGGGTCAGGACATGGAGCAACTCCATCCAGGTCCTCGGCTCTGTTCTGGATCAGCCTGCTGTACGTAATGAAGTTGTTGCAGCGATGCTGCCATTGCTCACTGGGAAGACACCAGGTAGAGGCTCTGGGGTGGCTGGCCCTGGTGACATTGGGGGCCTCCCCAGTGGCCAGAGGGCTTGAAGCACCACATAGGAGCAGGCTCGCAGGGGAAGAGACGCAGAGTCTGGTCGCCGAGGGGAGGTGCTGGCTGCAAACCAGGCTGGTGGACCCTTCCTTGGGGGAAGCAATCACTGTGCCATGTCCCCTTCTGGAGGCTGCCTATGGTGCACAACCATGGGCATGGGGTGAGCTGAGCCTTGGCTTGCTGCCCGGGGACAGAAGCCACAAGGCCTTGCTCTTCCCTAGTTGTGGCTTTCAACCCCCCAACCCAGGGTCTGCTTCAGCTGGTGGAAGGTCTGGGGTGCAGCCCACTTGCACCTGCTGCTCCATCCTCAGCCATGCCCCAAGTGGTCGCGTCCTGAGCCTAGTGCCAAGCCGTCCTGCTGGAACATGCCACTGCAGCCCAGTTAGAGGTTAGTATACAGAGAGGGAGGAAGGGGGATAGGGTGCATGTGGGGGTGGGTGGGGTGGTAAAGGGGGATGGTCAGTGTGGAGGTGTGGTGGTGGAAGGCTGGGGGTGTAGGAATGAAGAAAGGAGGTTGGGGTGTAAGACTAGGCAGTGTGGAATGGGGAAGGGTTAGGGAAGATGGGTGGGTGTAGGAATGGAGGATGGAATTAGGGTAGGGAAGAAAGGACGGGAGTGGGTTGTGGGAGCTCCGGGATAAGGACAAGCATCCTATATTACACTACTGGGCTCTCTTCCTAAGTGAGCCAAATCTGGTTCTTAGTCGGCATGGGGGTGTAAAGTTGGGAGTTAGCCCATGGTTTCATGTCTCTCTATTGCGCCCTGTCCACACGAAGCATATTCCACAGCCCCACAGGGGGAGCTTGCTTGCCAGCTGAAAGGGCACAACTGGAGCACTGCCACCCTGCAAAGCTGGGCAGTAACCAGGCACAGAGAGCAGGTAATTCCCTCCCTACCTGGCTGTACACATGTAATCCAGCCCCTGCCCCTCACTAGCAAGCCGGGTGCCTAGGAGCACCTGGAACAAAGGAGATTCATTTGCAGTTGGGCTCTGTTTTACTGATTGCATTTGGTTTTCGTTTACACATGAGGCCCACAAACCCGCAGAGAATAGCCTTTCCTGATGGATCACTTCTCAGTACCTCCGTGCTAGCTGCCAGAAGAGGCTCTGAACTCTGCATGCGAATGAACTATTTTATTGGTGGATGAGGTAGGAGTGGGAAGAAACTGACTGATGATTGAAGGGTACAGGTGGGATGGGCCGAGAGTGTTTGGAAAGAGGGGCCCATTCAGGGTAGTGGGCAGGAGCGGAAAAGGGTGTGAGTGATTTGGGGCCACGCAGAGCGTATCTGGGGTCAGTGCAAGATAAACTGGTTCTCTGGCCACAAAAGTGACCAGCAGGGGCGCAGCCCCCTACTTATTTTTTTTTGAAATATGGTCACCATAGCTAGTCTAAACATAGATGTTTTGCAGCCTAAACAGGCTATTCTCTAGTGGTTTGAAAAGAATCTGAGAATAAAACATATTTGTGAACAGAACTAAATGAAACTCTCGTCAAGAAAGAATTTGCTACCGTAGACCTCCTGCTATGGAGACAGCACCAACCTTGGCTTAAAGAGCATAGACTCCAGATATGTTATTTAGGAAGCTGGAGTTGCATACCTTAAACTGACCTTCTGGGTCTAGTATAGACCTGGCCTGAGAAAGCAGAATGCCACACCACTTTATTACTAAGTTGCATTCTGGGAACTTCTGTGTTTTTTCCTGTGATATAAATGTCTTTCACCCCATGTGCTCTATAGAACCTGAAGAATAAAATCTTAGAAAAGAACATTGTTGACCTAGCCTATCCGCACCAGTTTATGCTAATACCATAAATGACTATTCAAACATTAGAAATAATTTTAATATCAATTTTATCAACAATAATGATTTAAAGTAAAAGCATAATTATAAATAAAATAGCAAATGATCTGGAAAGATGCAATCTAGTTCTTTACAAAATAAGAGATATCTAGACTATAAAATGAAGTTTTAGTACTTTGTATAAAATAACACGACTTCATTCAGAAATTCAAAGGCATCATTTTGCTTTATTTACAAACTTTTATAAAATAAAAGTCTTATTATTTATATTTCCATACAAAGATGAAACCATATTATAACAAACAGCATGAAATACTTACTATTCATTTTAAGAACTCTTTGAAGAATTTGGTCATTAAATAATTTCATTAAACTTTCTACTTCCAGCAGTTAGTCTCTGGCAGATAAACTTCTACAATTATAAGTAGCATGGACTCAGTTTGACATAATAGCACAAACAATAAAACTAACCTACCGCATGCTTTCTTCCAAGGACATCTTTGCTGCCAAAGTGATGCTCTACTAGGTTAAGATTTGCTGTTTTCAATTTTTCCTGCAAAAACTTTATTTCACATTTCTGTGATGCTATAAGACACTCCAGCTCATTTAAAGAAGGCTGTTGAAATTCCTAGAAAATAATAGCATAGGTATGTTTAATTAGTAACATTATACATCAAAGAATCACAAGAAATCATAATAAGAAAATTCAGATGATGCTGCCAGTAAAAGGAAAGGAAAATACTATAATAGCTATTGTCATCAGATGATCTGGCAAAAAAAAAAAAAAAAAAAAAAAAACCAAAAAACCAAAACTTTGCTACAAGAAATCAAATTTGCTGGACAGTTTCTAATTTCAAGTATCTCATCAGATAAAAAGCAAAGTCTGAGCAAAAGGACTCTGCTAATAAGTAAAGACACTAAAATTGCAGCAGGATTAAAGAATAGAATAGTAGACATAGCCATGTGATTCCTTGCTATGCAACTTTTTGCCCATAAGCACTATAAAAAAAGAGGTTACTCACCCTATGCAGAAACTGTTGTTCTTTAAGATGAGTGTCCCTCTGGGTGCTCCACTGTAGGTGTCTCGGAACCCCATGGCTACGTCTAGACTGGCATGATTTTCCAGAAATGCTTTTAACGAAAAAGTTTTCCATTAAAAGCATTTTCAGAAAAGAGCGTCTAGATTGACACGGACGCTTTTCCACAAAATTACTTTTAGCGGAAAAGCGTCCGTGGCCAATCTAGACGCGCTTTTCCGCAAAAAAGCCCCGATCGCCATTTTCATGATCGGGGCTTTTTTGCGGAAAACAAATCTCAGCTGTCTACACTGGCCCTTTTGCGCAAAAGTTTTGCACAAAAGGGACTTTTGCCCGAACAGGAGCAGCATAATATTTCCGCAGAAAGCACTGATTTCTTACAGTAGGAAGTCAGTGCTTTTGCAGAAATTAAGTGGCCAATGTAGCGGCTGATTTTCCGGAAAAACTGGCCAGTCTAGACACAGCCCATGTGTATAATTGGAACTTTTTAACAGCAGTATCCCTGGGTGCCAGCATGCATGTGTGGTGTCGCTCACACCATAGCGAACATGCTGACGTGCACACGCCATCAACCATCCCTCAGTTCCTTCTCTACTGCTGGAGAGATATTATGATTCCAAAGCAGAGGGGAGGGAGGATCAGGGAGAGTCGTGGAGTGCCCACAAGGACACCCACCTCAAAGAACACTAGTTACAGCACAGGGTGGGTAACCTCTTTTTTCCTTCTTCAGGGAGTGTCCATGTGGGTGCTCCACTGTCAGTAACAATGGAGCAGGGTCTGAGAGTTTGGAAATAGGGGCTTTGGATCTGACTTGTGAGTGGCGGACAAGATCACTGTCCCAAACGTAGTGCATTGTGAAGTGTAGCTATCTATTACATGGTGCTTTGTAAATGTACATGTAGAGGCCCATGCACAGCCCTACAAATGTCAGTGATAGGCACATTATTCTGGAAGCGGTCATTGCTCTGGTGGAGTGGGCCTGCAACTGATCTGGAGGGGAAACCTTATTGAATGCATAACAGGTTATGATGCAATTTGTTACCCATTTGGGAAGACTCTATTTAGAAATCTCTCCTTTAGAGCGATCTGATATGGAAAGAAAAAGCCTCAAAGAGTGTCTCAACTGTTCTGTTCTTTCCAGGTAAAAGGCGATGGCTTGGCAAACATCCACGGAATGCAGGCAAGTGGTGTTGGCATCTGGATGAGGTCTCTGGTACAAAACAGGTAAGCATAAGTGTTACATTGAGGTGGAACTGGGAAACCACTTTAGGCAGAAATTTTGGGTACAGTCTAAGCACTACTTTGTCCTTGTAGAAAGCTGTAAATGGAGGATTGGCCATGAGTGTGACTAGCTCGCTAACCCTTCTTGCTGTGGTGATAGCCAACAGAAGGGCATAGGAAGGTGTGATAAAGAGCACATTGCCATTGGTTCGAATGGTGCACCCATCAGGTTGCTAAGGACAAGGTTCAGATCCCAGGGTGGTGCGATTTATTTTATAGGGGAAAAGACATTTTTGAGATCTTTCAAGAACTTTATAGGTTATTGGGTAATCGGGCAATGTTCACTAGAAATAACTGCCAAGTGGATTTTGATGAGTTAGACAGATTCTGCTTCTTCAAGGAAGAATGGAAGTCCAATGCCGTTGGTAACAGTGCTGTGTGTGGTTGACATGCTTTGTGAGTGGCCCACATGCAGAACGGTGCCACTTTTGAGCATAGGTCTTTCCCGTGCTCTCTTTACGACAGTTCATGATTAGGATACAAACTTCCCCTGAATAGGTGAGGTCCTGTGAAATCAACCCTGGAGGAGCCAAGACTTGAGATGGAGCCTCTGAATGTCAAGATGAAGAATGCAACCTTGCTCCTGGGATAGGAGATTTGCCCACTGCGGGAGATGAATTGGAGGAACATCTGACATCTGTGACAGGTAAGGAAACCTGATCTGCCTGGGCCATGCCAGCACTAACAGAATGACTCTGCCCCTGTCCTGTTTTATTTTCTGTATGACCTTGTTGAGCAGTGGAAGAGGCGGAAAAGCATAGAGTAGGTTGTGAGTCCAGTTTACCAGCATAGCGTCTCCCATGGAGTTCTTGCCCAGACCCACTCTGGAACAGTACTTGGGGCATTTCACATTGAGAAATATGGCAAATAAGCCTATGTCCACAAAACCCCACTTCCGGAGGATGGCATGCAGGACTTGAGAATGGATCTCCCACTTGTATTGTTGATGAAATATTTGGCTCAGGTGATCTGCAGTCACATTTTGTTTCCTTGCGAGGTAGACCGCTGATCACATGATGGTGAAAACACCACTACCACAGTTCTGTGTCCTCTTTGCAGAACTGGTAGGACCTGTCCCCACCTTACCAATCTATATAAAACATGCAAGCTGTGTTGTCTGTGAGTGTCCTCACCGACTTGCCATGAATCAGGGGAAGAAAATATTCACAGGGCTCTTCTGATCACCTGCAGCTCTAGAATGTTGATGTGAAAGAGCTGATTCTGGAGAAGACCATCTTCCCTGAGTGCTGTACTCATTCGTGTGCGCAGCCCAGCCTTCCAGGGGAGTGTCCATTGTTATGGATATAGATGGGCGAAGTTGCTGAAATGGGACTCCCCTCAGAGACTGTAAGCCTGTAACTGCCATCAGAGGGAGTCTTTCACCCTCTTTGGGGAATCAGAAGCTTGGGCAGGTGGCTCTCATGTGGTTGAAAGCAAGTGTGGAGCAATACTTGAAATCATCACATGTGCAATCTGGTATAAGGGATCACGTATGTTGTCGCCGACATGGTGGCCAAGTAACTGCACATATTTCTGGCCGAGAGCATGGGGCTATCAATGACTGTTTGGGCCAGTATGGCCAGTGACTGAAAGTGATGTATCGGCAGTCTGGCTTGTGCTTGTACGCAGTCCAGTGTTGTACCTATAAATTCCAACTCCTGGGATGGAGTAAGATGTGACTTCTGAGTGTTTATTTGCAAGCTCTATGTGTTGAACAGGTAGTCTTTGCAGTGGACTCTCGGGCCCTTTGATTCAGGCCCTGATTCTTCATGTAGGTTCTTGTCTTAAACTCCTGGTTTGACCACTAGGTCTGACTATCCTAGCCCCATCATGACATTCACTGCATCAGAGAAATGCTTCAGTAGCAGGGAGGCAGAAGGCATCACATTACTAAAAATAGCAGTGTAGATATGAGAGGTGCTGCCTGAACATGTAGAATTCCATAAAGTCTTTGCACTGTGGGTTCAATCACATAGAGCACTTACTCTATTTCCTTAAGCTATGTTCTAACATTTACAATGCTTTTTATAATTGCTTTCTGGGCATGAACTTTCTATACTCTCCACATTGCTGTTAAGTGTAGAGGTACCTCGAGTTTAGAGAATCCACTCCCTTTTTGCAAGTTGTAAAGGAATTCTTTTAAATCTAATGGATATATTATATACATTTAACAATAAACTATTTTTATTAAATGTAATGCATCTGGCATGGGTACACCTGCATATTTATTTTGTATATAACTTTTTTGATCATTTTAAATATGTACATTTACATACACACACCACATATATCACATATATCCACAACTGTGATTGATAAGCTCCATAAAACCTAACATCCTAAATCAGGGGTGGGGAACCTTGACCCACAGAAAAATCAATTGGGGACTGGACAAAAGTGGAAAATTAAAAAAAAAATCCACCTCACTGACATAGCCCCTGACTGAAAAGCAGAAAGACACCCTCCCTGTTTCCCCCCGTATACCAGAGCCTAGGGGACCCAGGCTATTAGATTTTGTGGGGGAAAGTCTCTAGATAGCACTGGAATCCAGAGCCAGGGAAAGGAATCAGGAACAAGGCAGGAACACATCAAGAAGCAAAGCTCATGAATCAAGTGAGAACACAAGGTCCAAAGAAGTAAGTAGCCAGTAATTCATCCAGTTGCACAGACAAATCCCTGTGTCTCCTTCTGAATTAATTAGCACAGCCAGGCTGTTTGGTGGGGCCAGATGTTCCTCCAATGAGGACTCCCATGAAAGTGGCTCTGGTGGGGCTAGAGTTTGATTAGGCTTTCAGCCAGTAATTATTAAGAAGATGCTGGATGGCAGCTAGAACATGAAAGGTGCCTGGGTTCCCATAGAACTGTGATCAAGATCCATGGATTCTCATGGTGATTGGCTCTCACAGGAGGGGAAAGACTCTCACAGTTGCCTGCAACACAGCAGTTTCTTGCCACAGTGAAAGGTTCCAGCAGTGGGGTGTTGCCTGAGTCTCATACTGCAACGTATAGCTATACATACTGCAGTGACAAGTATGGACATAGCCCGTCTTCACTGCACTGTGCAGCAACACATATATGGTGTGTCTAGACTACTGTTTCTCAACCTTTTTTTGCTCTTGGCCCCCTTCTGAGCCACATTTACCTCTGTGGCCCCCCTCATAGCCACTATTAGTTGGAAAAATGGTACATAATTTACCTAATGTTCTGTTTTTTCCATGCGGCCCCCTAGAGGTAGGGCTTGGCCCCTGGAGAGCCATATGGCCTATGGTTGAGAACCACTGGTCTAGACTACAGGGTTTTTTCGAAAAAA